GAGGAAAACAAAAGACGAAGACCAGCAATGCTTTAGCTCTCTTCCAAAAGAGGGACCATCCTTTCCATCACACAAAATGCAAATGGAGAGATAGGAAATTCATGACCATGCATGTCATGGCGACACACCTGGCAAACGCAAAACCAACTCCTTGAGGACAAAAACAGAAAGTGGAGTCAAACAATCCCCTAGATCTCTCCCAAAGGATGGGCTTCCCTTTCCAATCAGACAAAATGCAAAGGGAGAGAAGGACAATTGATGACTGTGCAGATCATAGTGACTCACACAGCAAAAGCAAAACTGAAAGTACTCACATGCAAGACTAACGCATCCACACAAGGACAACACCCAACTCCCAACAAATGCAAAACCAAAAGTAGACTGAAGTCCACTGCATTTCTCCACTGCAAGCCAGTCTTGGGCTGAGGGCAGCTGACACTAGCGGGAAGGGGAGGGTGGCAGGGGAAGTCCCCTGGGCAAAGATGCACAGGCAGCTACTGGGGGACAACTGACCACATGAACCCTCACAGGGGTGGTCCAGCCATGGGAACAAAACACCTGCCGACTTTGCCAAAATCGATACCAAGCTTCTTCATTGCAAATTTGTGTGCCTGATGTGCAGTAAGCCAATCGCTGAGAAATCATGCTTGGGATGGAGAACAGTTTATTCAAATTAACCCAAACCAGGTGAGAGGATAGTTCTCTCAAATCCGCCTTCACAAGAGAAGAAGCAGGGAGTTTTATGGACTAAAGGGCCTGGTAGGAGGAGTTTAGGAGAAACAAAGGGGTCACCTGTAACTTTCTCAAAGGCATTCTTTTTCTTCAGCAAAACAAGCTCAGAAATCCTTGTGACCATTCAATCACCTGACAGGTTAAATGAGAAAACAGCAAATTGACCAGATTAACATCTTTTCATAATAAGATCAAAGGTAATCTTGTTGAATATTTGCAGTGACCCTCAGGTACCGGCCTCAACAGTTCTGGAGGCTGGGAAGTCCAAGATCAAGGTGCCAGCGATTGAGTACTTAATGAGGACTCTGTTCCTGTCTTGCAGACACCCAACTTCTTGCTGTGTAGTCTCATGGTAGAGAGAGCGTGAGCTATCTGGTCAGCTCCTCTTAAAGGACACTGATCCTATCAGACCAGGAGCCCCCTCCTATGACCTCACTTAACCTTCATTACTTCCTTAATGCAAATGCAGCCACACTGCACGTTTGGGCTTCAACATACATTTTGGGGGACACAATTCAGGCCACGGACCTGCCTATTCCATAACTGGCTTCCAGGGGGTTCAGCAGCATTCTTCCTCCAACCCCCGTGTGGGCGATCCTCCAGGGAGCTTCAGGGACCCAGCTGCATTCACAGGGAGTTCAACTGCTCACCCGGGCGGCTTCCTGCCCGGGTCCATGGGCTCTTAAGAGGGGGAGCTCTTGTTTGTTGGCTTTGGCTCGTGGCACCCAGCAATCTGTATCAGCCTCCTAATGGGCTACAGACTTAGCAAGAAGTCTACCCCTCACCCTTGTAGGGAGCCCTTTCTCGAATTTATCCCTTCTTGTATTCTTTACTTCTTACTAGTTGATCCTGTTAACAGCTAGAAATTCCTGTATTAAAATTTTCCTTTTCAAATTCCTGCCTGGTTTGTGTCTCCTGACTGGACCCTGACACTTAAAGGGGGTCTCCTCTATCCTGCTCTCTCTTCACTACCAATGCCCCAGTTTTGAGCTAGTTAAGGTGAAGGAGATGTGAGGAAACATTGACAAGTGAGGCAGCGTTACATCTTCATTTAGGCTTGAAATAAGGTGATGAAGATAGAGTGCCGGGAATCTGCTCTGAGGCATTTCGTGGATGGCACGGATAGAAATTGGTTAATAATTGGATTTGTGGTGTTGCTGGGGAATGAGCAGAAGACCAAGGTGTGAGTTGCAGGAGCAGGATTCCACAGGCCACACCTTCCGTGGCTGTGCCTCCTGTCCCCAGACAGAGACCACTGAGGAATACAATTAAAAGGAGTCGGCCATGGGGTCAGACAAGGTGACAAGACATAATTGACAGGGACTGAGGAGGCCTGGACACAGACAGGCCAGGAAATAGCACCAATGTAACCAGAGGGGCCTGGAGAGGGGAGCGGGGCTGATGAGGGGCGGGTCCTGCAGGATGTCTGTCCTGTGTGATGCTGAGACTGTCTCCCCTGGACCCACACAGACAGGCACAGGGTCAGCCTTCACCTCAGTGTCCTTCCATCACCCCCTGGGATCAAATGGGCAGTCCTTAGACCAAAGAATAGCACGCGGTTTCAACAAATTCAATCTCTTAAGCATTTATTAGACAGTAATTCTGTGACCCCCCCACTGGCTTCTGGGGCCATAGACCTCAATAACTGGGTGTCCCTGCCCTCAGGGTGCTCACAGCCCATCTCCTGAGAGCAGAGTGAAGAGGAAGCTCAGTACTTGTCAGGCAGGCCATGAGGTCTGAAGTGATTGGGGTCTCTGCCGCTCCGGCCCCATTCATTGGCAGCCTGGTCGGCTCTCGAGTCCTCTGCTCCACGGCCGCTGCCTCCAAAACTGAAACGGTCTGTGAATCTCTGAACATTCTCTCTGGCATCGCTGATGGAGGAGAACAGGCAGGAGATTAATCCGGGGCTGATGAACAACAGCCCCACCCTCCCTGTGTCTCCTCTTTCCCAGCGATGGCTCTGAGAGGAGCCAAGGAGAGAGGGGCTCATACACTGAGCCTGCCCCGGCACAGCCCACCCAGCCTCACTGATCCCCTGAGCTAGGTGATCAGCACCCAGAGGGGAGGATTGGGAATCACTCCTTGGAGCTCACTTTCTCTTTTGGGAGCAGGGGTCACATGTGTTCACCAGCCACACTCTGGCTCTGCTGGCACTGGGCACAGATGGAGAGGTTGGACAGGATGCACGCAAGGAGAAGATCATATCTCCCGCAAGACCCCTCACCCGGGCCTGCCCCTCCTGATCCCCAAAGGCAGCCCAGCTCTGCGCACCCACCCCTGCACCCTCAGGCCCCGAGTCACCTGATGACTTTAGCAGCCCAGGCGCCCCCAGGGCCCCTCTTTGCAGCGTCATAGTTCCCGCGGGCGTGGAAGTATTTGTCTGCACCTATGTAATTGGCTTCTCTCATGTCATTGTAAGCTCTTAGCATGTCCCAAGTCCCTGGAAAGGAAAGGACACGGCCAAAGGGACACAGGGTGAACAGAAAGACTGTGACATCCCTTAGAGAAGAATCAAGAATGCAGAATCGTCCACTGACTCCATTTCTGCCTGAGGTCATAGCACCTTGGATTCCATAGGATGAGGAGCACATTGCTAATCTCCGTTGGTGTCTCCAGAGCACTCTAATGAGAGTCAGTGAGGTGGGCACAGCCGTGTTGTTGGGTGGTCAGACCCTCGTGATGCTGTCTGTGTGCTCCATCTCCCTTGAGGTCCACGCCTTATGTTTAAGGTAGGGAAAGGAGGCATGGTTATGGAACAGGATTTCTCCACTTCAGCACTATTGAAACCGTGAGTCAGAGACGTGTCTGTTGAGCAGGGCTGTCCTGAGCACTGGGAGACGTTGAGCACCGTCCCTGCCCTCTACATCCTAGAGCAGCAGCACGCTCCCCAGGTGACAACCAAAATGTTCCACACATTGCCAAATGTCCCAGAGCACAAGACTGCCCTTGGTCAAGAACCACTGCTACAGAAGGAAGGACATATGAGACTATGCAGGGGACGTGTGTGGGTGAGGTGGTGCCATGAAGACAGACTTGGGGAAGGCTGCAGACATATAGCACTTGTGTCCTGACACCTAAGAAAAATGATCTTGCAGACAGAATGCACATAATTGTGACTCGAGTCCCTGGGAGCGCTAGGGGCCTAAATGGCATCCTGAAAACCTTCTCGATAGACTGTCCTGCTGACGTGGGTGCTGAGGAAAGCAGCGCTGGAGCAGTGGTTCTTTCCTCAGGCTCGGCTGCACTTTCTAATCACCTGGGGATATCGGAAGTCTGATGGGCTCACACCCCAGGTCAAAGCCTCACACTCTGGGGGTGGCACTGAGGCCTCAGCAGTTTTAAGGCTTCCAGGGGACTCCAGCCTGCCACTGGTTGGTACGCCCTGAGCCCTAGGAAGTGGTACCCACACCGTTACCTGGGAAGAGCTCTGGCCTCATGCACACCTGTGTTCAGACCTCTGCTCTGCCACCTGCTGACTGGCGGACAGTCCCTGGGCAATGGACTCAGCTGCTCTAAGCCTCAGTTTCCCCCCTTCGAAGTGGGGGGCAGAGGCATTTGGAGGTATTCTGCAGTTAATGTAGGTGACCAACTGCCCCAGCTTGACCACAACTGCCCCTGTTTGCCTAGAACCATCCCAGTTAGCACTGAGTGAGTGTCGGAAAACCCCTCCGGCCTGAGCAAACCAGGATAGTTGATCCCCCTAATTGCATGAATGCGCTCAGTTCCCAGCCGAGGCTTCATGTATGTTATTATTCTCTCTTTTTTTACCAGTTAACAGTCTAGAAAAGGGTAGGAAGCCGACTAAACCAGGGACAGCATCACTGACAACAGGAACCATCAGCAAGAGCTGAGTGAAGGACTCTCTAAATTATCCAGTTAGGAAATGGAGAGAAGAAAGGGAGGGAGGGAGGGAGGGAGGGAGGGAGAAGGGGCGGAGGGCAGAGGAGGGGCCCAGGAAAGAGAAGAAGAAAAGATGGAGAGCTCAATCAGTTTAACGCAACTTCGTCTGAGGAAACTTTATCCCGCTTCAGGACTTCTTTTGTGTCTTCCATTCAAACCTACCTTTCGGTGGAAACCATCATTGTTCTTTCTCTAGTCACTGATTGAAATAAATCCTGTGGTTTTTAATCCGTTTGAGGGAAAGCTCCCCAAACCCCTGGCACATGCAGCACCTAGGAGAACACAACCTAGGACAGCAGCTCCACCCTTGAGGGTGCTCAGGGTGGATCCTAGTGGCCGGTGGATGCCACCCCCTCCATCAGCCTTACCTCGAGCAGCCTCTCCAAGGAACGATAACAAGCCGCTGGCTCCCAGGACCAAGGAGCAGAAGACGAGGACTGTGAACAGCTTCATGGTGCTGCAATGAACGGAGAGAGTCAGGGAGACTCGGACAAGACGGGCACACACCCTCGGGCGTGTGTGTCAAAGGGAGCCTCGCTGGATTTCCCACTGTTCTCAGTAGACTCTTAGTGGATCATTGAGCAAACACTGCAGGAGGACCTCACGCAGAGCCACAGCCCTCAGTTCTGAACCCATCACCCCTGAACCCGAGACTGTCCGAGGGGTCACCAGGGCGGCCTTGATGGAGGAGAGGGCAGTTAGGACCAAATTGTCCCTCCAGACAGACCCCTATTACTAATCAAAAACCATGTCCCATTTGCACAGTGCCAGCCCAGACCTCCCACAGGACAAACCCAAAACAGAATAATTGTTTTTGGAGGCAATAACACTCTTTCTGGGAAAGAGAAAGCAGAGTAAGTCTCTTAAACAGATCCCCCTTTGGAGTGGTCCCTCACCTGACTTCCAGTGAGCAGGGCTGCCGGTCCCTGCCTCTGGGGAGAGGTGGCTGCTTTTTATACTCAGCCTTCCCTGCTGGGGTCACAGGAGGCAAGAAAAGAAAGACTCGGTGCCTGGGTTAAAGTCCCTCCACGTCACTTCCCCTAGAAAGCTGCAAAGGCACACTTACCGGACACCAGCAGTTGTCTCCATGCACAGGTCATTTCCCGGATTGTGCAACCCTGAGGGAGCAAGGCAGGCTGCTGGGCCTTGGTGGCCGTCGGGCCCAGAGGATGGCTCTGCTGTCAGAGTTGTGGGGTTTGAGGGGGGCCATCTGGGGAAGGGGAGAGGAAGGCTGTGGAGCCCCAGGATGGTCACCTGGGCTGCTGGAAAGTGTGGGGTTAGAGGATGGCTCCTCCCGCCAGGACTTTGCTCCGCTGGGCACTTCCTCAGATGGTCCCTGCTGGTCCGGCAGCAGATGTGTCAGAACGTAATTCCTCTCAGCTCCTGTCTAAAGCCCTGAGTTTCAAAACTGACAGGCGGCCCACCCAGTCTCCTGGGTGCTCCTTCCACCGCTCTGCCTGCGTGGCTCAGCTTTCAGCTCCAAGGCTCAGAAAAGCATGCTCGGCTGCTCTGCCAGTGAGGAAGTGCATCATCTAACCTGCGCCTGAGGTGGGGGCATTGGTGTCAGGACTTCTTGCTTCCCCCTCTACCCCCAAATGCTGGAGACACCTCACAGTGGGAGTGGGAGTGTTTTCGTGCAAGGAACTAACGTGGAAACTCTATAAACCTGTACTAGGACAGAGGGAGGTAACGTCTGTAATGGGAAAATCGCAGCCCAACGGGAGACCTGCCAGGCTCCCAGTCAGAGGAACGTGGGGTGAGCCCTTTGTCACCTATATTTTCCAGGGTGGTCACTGTCTGCCCCATTGTCACTGTGAGTCAAAAACATCAGTAGGGTCAGCCCAGCGAGCTGAATCCTTTATAGAAATGAGCTGAGCACCCAACTCTTGAGCAAAAATATGCTGGTGCCTCTTCCTAACCAGAAACCTAGAAAGAGAATTTTGGAGGCTGTAGCTCAGCCCAGACAAGTCGACGTTGCTCCAAGGTGTCTGAGGGCAGATCGAAGAGAAAGGCTGCTTCACTGCCCGAGACCTAGTGACGTTCCTTCTTCCTCCTTCCTTTTGCTGGAATTTTTCAGATTTGCCAGAAAGTACTACTCTTTTTGACTCTCAACTCTCTGCCTGTTTAGTCGACTGTTCCCTTGTCATTATTTTCTAATATAAATAGACAGAGTCTCAAACTCTCAGACTTCATTTGAAGAAGAAATCTGGCGAATGGGAGAAGATGTGCCAAGATGTTCTTGCAACTCTGCAAAGATATCTTACATGTGTTTATGCCACTTGGGACAAAAGATTTCAGTTGCATCCATCCTAACATTGTTACCAGGGTGACAAATCCTCAGTGAAGACAGCCAACCTGGCTGCTTCTTTGGAGGTTAAAAGTACAGGGAGCAAACAATTCTGAGGTCCAGTTGCCTGATAAGACCACTAAAAAAAAAAAACCTCTTCCAAGAAACAATTTAACTTTAAATTAACAACAGAAGCCATGTCTGTCATGTCACTTTTGTATACATGGTGTTTATCCCACTCTGGTCAGTGACAGCACTCATTCATGACTCTGTTCGTCCACAGGTGCTCACCGAATCCTCCTGCACGCCAGCACTCCTGCACGGGCTGGGACATCCCTAACCTTGTGGCGTTGAGTTGTATTGATCGGTCAATGAGGATGTAACGCAAATAGTGACACCCTTCATTATCAAAACCGAATCCATTCCTGACAATGTGTTGGGTGGCAATTATATTTTGGGGTCAGGAGTAGCAAATTTTTGAATACCAATTTTTTATAATTGAAAAAATGATAATCCCTTCTTAGCCAATTTTCCCAAATGTTATCTGAACCACTGGAACAGCTCTTTAACAATCTACCAAGGAGATCCACACAATATAAAACAATTAAAGCACCGATTACCTAATTATCTAATAATTAATGAGCCCATTAGTGGGTGTTTTGTGTGCAATCCACCATAATACTCTAGAAAGTTGGACACAAATTACATTTTCTTTCTATACTGTAACCATTATGTACCATAAATCTTAAAAGTTAGAAATATCGCTAAAGATGAATGAAAAAAATTTTCGCATAATAAAATACACAGGAATTTTGGTGACAGAATAAATGAAAAGGTACATATATAAGATTTGTCTGTGTCCCAATTCCAGGAGTTGGGTGACAGTCTTTTCTACTTGGCACTGGAAATTCTGCACACAGATGGTAGTGAACAATGGTTTGAAGCTACAGATGATGGAATTACAAAACACACACACACATAGACACTCGCAAAATGAATGTCTGTGTTGCCTTTACTTTCTATCACACAAGCCCTGATAATGTGAGACTGTGTTTACAGTTAAATTTTTGAGTGGGTCGTAACGTTTATGTGTTGATCACTCACTAGCAACAGGCGTCACTATTGTGTGCATGATCTAAACCTAAGGGTGGTCTTAGGTGGTGATGTGGACAGGTCGCCCCTAGTAACAGGAGAGGCAGCAGAGAACCCGGGAATAAATGCAGGCAGCTCAGTGGGTTTCACGGTGGGAGCCCGTGGAAGTCCATTTCTGACCGCTCCTCTTTTTCAGTGAAATAGGCAGGAAAGGCATCAACTGAGAGGAGGATAGAGGAAGAGGAGGTGTGGAGAGTCCAGGAGAGAAGTGCAAATGGTCATCTAGGATAATAGCAGAGTGAACAAACAGAGAGTGTAGTAGGATTGCAAGGCACTCGAGGTTACAAATTTAAAGTGTGACTAGTACTGTGGTTGTGTATTTTTCTCTGACCACATTCTTTGTCAGGGTCCAGACTTGACATAAGTGGGAATTGGATATCACCACTCAATATATACTTCTTGAATTGTTGAGTGAATTAAGACACGCAAAGGTCAGAGAAGGATTCATTTAAAGATGAGGCAAGGTCATAGGCTACAGGGAGAGAGTTCACAAAGAGAGAGTGACTGAGGGTGAAACTAGGGCAAAACACATACTCCAAGGTCCATGGGCCCACAGAACCCCTGGGAATGGGGTTGCCCTGAGAGTAGTAGGAGCAGGTCTTTCTCTCATAAAGGAAGAAAAGGAGAGAACATGAAGAAGATGGATTTTGAGATGGAGGATAGAGAACTGAGGGAAACCAGTAGCACTGGTCCTTCACCTGTCACAGGACTCATCACTGTCTACCTGTCGGCATTTCTGAGTTTGGCCCCACAGCGCACAAGTACCAGGGGTAAACCTTGTCTGGCTTATTGATGGACAATCTGCTGTCTCCCTCACCCCTAGTACAGCGTCCCACCTATCACAGTTTCGCAGTCATTTTCATTGATTGAATGATTCAATGAGCAAATGAATGAGAAGTAATCTGCATAGAATGATAGAGGTGGTGTGATGGTGAAGTTTGGAAGTTGAGAAGAATGGAAAAGCTTTGAAACAATAGTGTGCACTGTGTAGCGTTAGTCATTCAGAAATGAACATGGAAATTGTTTGTATGCAGTAAAATGCCAGGCTCTTTGGAATGCATGAACTTATTGTCAAAAACTACATCCTGAAAGCAAACGCTTACCACCACCTCTCCCTGCACCCCGTCATTTTGCACCATCATCTGGATCATTGTGGTGAATCCCTAACTGCCTTCCACGTTTCCACCCTCGTCCCCAACAGGTGTCTTCTCAAAACTGCATTGAAACTGTTAAAACACAAGATAGATCAAGTCACTCTGTGCTCAAAACCCTGCAGAGGTTCCCACTTTCACTCAAAATTGAAGCCAAATCCCTTCAAATGGCTTAAGAGAGTCTCCTGTAATTGTCCCACTCAACCTCATTGCCTGCTTCTCTCCTCGGGCTCCCCTTGCTCCAGCCACAGTGGTCTTCTCCCCGTTCTTCAAATCCCCCAGATGCAGCTCCCTTGCACTAGCTATTCCTTTCACGTGAAACATTCTTTTTCCAGATATTTGCGTATCGGCGCTTTGCGGAGAGCGAGATCTTAGATTTCTGGATGCTGGAAGGTCAACACTATAATTTTGTCTCTGGGAGTGCTGGCAGTGAGTACATTGGAACCAGGGCTGTGAGGGAAATGTGGAAATTTTCCATGAAGATGGGAGAGGAGTGGAGAGATGTATCAATAAACATAATAGAGACAGGCTTTGGCCCCAATAATTACTAATCAGATTGCCTATTTCAGATGTAACTGGCAGGTGTTTTAGGAATGCAGATTCCTGGGGCAGAATCTTCTAGGTTCTGATTCAGCAGGTTTGGAGTGGACTTCAGGAATGCCTGTCTTTGAAACTCTCCGTGTTGTGGCAATCACTTGTGCTGATAACATTGGTGACGCTGGAGAGAGGGTGGCAGGAATGTGGCAGGGACCTAGGAGAAGACACTCACAGAGCATGGAGCCAAAGAACGTGGAGATGACAGTGGGAGCAAAGAGGATACCGACCCCACTTTCCCCTTCTATTGTTCAGGAATGGCAGGAGGTGTACCCCAGGGGAGATGATAATAAAGTGGAATCAACATGGGAAAGGGAAGTTTCAGGATTTTGTAACCAGGAAGGAAATAGGCAGAGACAAAGGGGAGACCCACAGAGCCTTCTCGCTCAGGGCTCCTTGGCGGCAGCAGGGGAAGACCAGATGGAGAGTAGAGAGGGTTGAGACTGATGCACAGAGAAATTAGTTTATGTGAAGTGAAAGTGGGGACAGGAACACAGGGGTAAAGGGAGCATTGGTTTAGCGTATTGCTTAGTGACAGCAGGCTGTGATGATTGATTGCTCTGGGCTGAGTGTGGGTGCTGTGCTGTGAAGGCTGGTATGCGGGAGCCCGTGGAATCACCCCTCAGGGCTCAGATGGAGCGTAAAGGGAAACTCCGGGGATGCCCTTCTGCCCTCCTGCCTTAGGTGCTAAAGTCTACTATGAACAGAAGTTCCAGAGCCAATGGAGGGACAAAGGAGGAGAGTAGGGGAAAGAGAAGTTAGTGAGGGTAGATAAGGCTTAGTTCCAACACATGTTCAATACCAAAAAC